ATACACAAACGCGATCAAAACATTTACATCTACAGCTGTAATCACACCACTGAAGCTACACAATGAGACAGGAAGTATAGTCAGGGATGGGAAGTACCGTCTCAGAGAGAGGAAGTATGCACTGAAACAGAAACTGTGTGAGCAGTGGGGAGGGTTTTAAGGTGAATTCATGCAAATTCACCTCTTGGGTTTTGTGCGTTTCAACTTTATTATAGGGAAAGAAACCAAATCAAAATTATGCAAATTTTGAGGAGTGTGTTGTCAGTGTCAGTGAACTATTTTGTTCAAATTGGATGATTTGTTCTTCTTGGGCCAAAGACTTTCCAGGAACCTTATATTTTTTCACATGTAGCCTCTGTCTACTTGTTGCGTATGCCCAAATGACTATTCACTCATATTACCGCCGCACACTGATTCAGGCAGGAAGCACAAATAAGAGAGCCCCAGCAGCTTTCTTTTGTGTTGTGGTGTACTTCAGTACATGCAAAGTTCAGGAATGCAGCTCTTCTTTGGAAATTTCTCAGACACTGTGATGCAACCTCCTTTCTGGAAAGTACCATACAGACATTTTCAGCTTTCTTTCATTCATAGAGGTATTCTAGCAGTTATCTCTAGAAGATGGTTCACACAACAACAACAAATCAAATCAATTTATTTACATAGCACCTTTCACAGGATAAAAACCACAAAGTGCTTCACAGTAATGTAAAAACAGAAATACATAAAATACATCAATAATCAAACATACAGCACAAATCTAATTAAAAGCCTTAAGAGTCTTAAGCTGCTTTTTAAAAGAATAAATACAATCAAGGCAACGTAAAAATGGAGGGAGAGCATTCCACAACCTGGGGGCCACCGCTCTGAAAGATTTATCTCCTCTGGTCTTAAAACAAGTTCGTGGGACTACCAACAGCCTTTGATTAGATGATCTCAGGCTGCGAGAGGGAGCGTGGGGTTCTAAAAGATCAGAAATGTAGGCAGGGGCATCACAATTCAAAGCTTTAAAAGTCAGTACCAAGATTTTAAAATGAATTCTAAAATGTGCTGGAAGCCAGTGTAATGAACGTAACACTGGTGTAATGTGCTCTCGTTTTCGTGTCTTAGTTAAAAGCCTTGCAGCAGCATTCTGGACTAACTGGAGACGGTCAAGATTCCTTTTGCTCAAACAAAGATAAAGACTGTTACAATAATCTAAGCGAGATTAAATAAAAGCATGAATAACCATTTCTAACTCAGATTTAGATAGCAAAGTTCACAGTCCCCAGATGTTTCTTAGCTGAAAAAGGCAGTTCCTAATTGACTGGCGAGAGTGTTGTTCTAGGGACATGGCAGAATCAAAGATCACACCTGAGGCTCGGGTGAACAGCTGAGCCAAGAGAACCAAGATGCTGTTTGATTAGAGATATCTGGTTGTCGGGGGCAATAATTAATGTTTCTGACTTCTCAGAGTTCAACTGTAAATAGTTGTCCCCGAGCCACTGTTCAATGGAAGCTAAACATTTAATTAAAGAGGACAGTTTATGGACTTCCATCGGCTTAAAAGAGCAATAGAGCAGAATATCATCAGCATAGAAGTGATAAGACACCTCAGGGAACTGCCTAATTATAAGTCCTAGAGGTAACATGTACAAAAGAAAAAGAATAGGACCCAGAACTGAACCCTGCCGTACTCCACAAGTCAGATCCTTAGAATGTGACATAAACTGATTTGCAAAAACACTAAAAGATCTGTTGGAGAGGTACGACTGAAACCACTTCAAAGCCAGACCGGACACACCGACTACGTCCCGGAGCCTGTTAATCAGGATGGTATGGTCAATGGTGTCAAAGGCAGATGTCAAGTCCAACAAAACCATTATGGAGGATGCTCCGGAGTCAGCTGACATCATAATGTCACTAGAGACTTTAAGTAATGCGGTTTCTGTTGAGTGACTTTTACAGAAACCCGACTGAAATTTGTCATAAATTTCATGTTTTTCTAAAAAAGCAGTAAGCTGATCTGCAACTACTTTTTCCAGAATTTTCGACAATAATGGGAGCTTGGAGATAGGCCTATAATTCTTAAGCTGAGTTGGATCCAAACTGCTCTTTTTTAATATTGGTTCAACAACAGCATGCTTATAGAACGTAGGGACCACACCTGTTAAAAGTGAGGCATTGGAGTTTGGAGTCTTCTCTCACCCCCATTCTCTGTGACCTGCTGGAGCGGGGGGGCTAGGAGGAGGAGTTGGCCGTCCGACTGCGGTCTGGAGTGTGGGGCCTCCCTGCTGCTGCGGAGTCGGGGCGGTCTGCCTCCCCCCACCGCAGGGAAAAGGGTAACACCACCTGGGTCTGGGTGCAGTTCCCCCCTCCAGGGGCAAGGGTACCTAGACCCGGTTTGTAGAGTACGCTTGGGGAGTGTGATCGTGTGTACAGCGTCTCTTTATGTCTGTCTCCACGTTGGTTGAGTGTGGAGTAAGTGCATATGAGAGCATGAGGGTGGGAATGGATGTTTGTATCTGTGTGTGCCTGTATGTCTGTGTCTATATGTCAGGTTGGGTATCAGACGCCACCTCTCTGGGGACATCTCAGGCCCTCCAAGGTTTGGAGGCCTATCTCCCCCCACCACCACTTCCCCTGCCAGTGGCGGACTCCCTCAGACATCGGTGCGTTGGTGGTTCTTTGTGTCCGGGGTGGGCGTCCAGGTACACACCGGCTCACTCCTTGGCGGCCGCTTATCGGGGCCTGGAGCCTGGGGCTCGCTCGGGCCACTTCGGAGGTGGGGTGCCCCCGGCCTCTCGGCCTGGGGCTCGGTCACTCAGGCGCGGCTGGCTGCCGGCGGAGCTCACGGGCGCGTCACTGCAACTCCCCCTGGCTTCTGCTCCGCGCTGCTGAGTGAGCCCTCATCTGGGACTCTCCTCAGCTCTTTCTGGGACAGTGGCGCGGCTGCCCCTCTGTTGGTCTTCCTTGGTCTCTTGTGTTCTGGGGGCCTCTGGATGTCTGGAGTTTTGATCTCCTCCATACCTGCTTCATGCCCTGGAGGACGGGGCTGTGGCCCCCCCACACCCTCTAGCAGATCATTACATGAAGGAACCTTTTAAAAAAAACAAGCGCGTCCATGCTCACAGGTGTACACACGGGTGATCACACCCACAAACTACACCCTTTTTGGCTCCTACCTCAAAGCACACTGTGTTCTGTTGATCTTATGTGCTGCACAATAATGTGTAATATTTAGTATTTACTGTCATATTCCCATATATCATTGTGATGTTGTTTATTCTATTACTCTTGTTCTCTTCTGCTTGTTTTCTTTTTTCTTTCTCAGCAGGTGACCCAGGTGACTGATATATGCATTTTTTTTTCTTTTCTTTTTCTGCTCACTCTGTTGGTTTTTGGTTTTTGCCCTTCTCCCCCGTCCCTCTTCTCAGCTGTTTCTCTTTCCCTCTTTCTTTCTCCCCTTCTTTCCCCCAGTAAAGTCTGTCCCATATTCAGTAAGTGAAAATAAAATAAACAATAAAAGGTGAATCAAATGGACCATTATGGCAAGGCTGGGATGGTCAGTTTGGTAAAGTAAATCCGTTGGGCATCTTTCTTTGCCTTTAGACAATAATTCTGATGGCAAAAGAGCCAAACGGGACAGGCAAAAAAAAAAGTGAGGCATTGCATATCTCTACAATAGAGGGGCCAATGGCAGAGAGAGCATTTTTAAACAACCCAGCAGGTAGAATGTCATTTGCACAAGTGGTAATTTTCATTTTTATCCAGCAGGATAAAACACTTGGAAGTGTTGTTAAATCCCTAAAGGGCCATTCAGGGAGACAACAAAACAAAACAAAGAAAATTTAAAAACAAAGAACAAAAAACAAAACAGATTTTTTAATGTTTTGTTTGCAACGTTTCCTCAGATTTTTCACCTACAAAATACTGTTTACAATAATGATACTATACTTTTATTCATTGTGGAAGTGTCAAGATTTAAAGAGAAAACACAAATCTACACTGCATCATCATTTACCTGCAAAAAACGGCATTTCTTTTAATTCTGTCACTAAATAACCAAAGGCAATATACTGATGCTTTAACACATTTTTAATTAGTAGACCTTATATGAATAAATAAATAAATAATTAGTTTGGGAACATAAATTGGGTGGATATGGGTGAACACAGATATAAATAAGTAAACTTTAAAATAAATAAAAATTAACATTTGGTTAAAAAGCAGATAGATTAGGGGGTTAATACCAGTGTTACATTTAATTAGGAATGATAACTCAAACAAAGACAGTGTTGGATATTCAATGGGAACTATCATGCCTCACTCAACTATCAGGCCTGTAATGAATATGAATGCTTGTGGCTGTTTTGTGACATCCATTTATTCTCACCATTCTTGCCCTTGTGAATGACGCACAAGCACAACCATACTAATTAATACTATTCAAAAATGAAAAAAACAACAACTTTGAGGCAAGAAAACCAGAGGAGAAACTACCTGGATGATCTGTGTCCAAGAATATTTGACCCAAAAAAGTGTTTTAAAATCCTCCAAAAGACACCAACAGCGCATGCATGGTCAAGAGGTCCAGCTCAGTGACGCGAGATAGTGGAGGTGGCCTAGCAAACACATCAAGCTGCTCCAGTGACCTGATTCATGAGTTATAAATGAATTTGCTCACTGTACAATTCTTAGCAGGGGGCAATAGTCAAAACACAGTGCTGAAAACATGCTTTGTAATGCTGTAAAGTTGGGCATTTGTTACATGGGAAATTGACTCACATTTGTAGCCTCTAGTGGCCAGTAAAGGAACTGCAGTTATTGGAACTTCACAGCCCTGAAGGTTCCTGCTTTATTGTCTATAGTTGATATTATAAATAAATAAAAAATAAGTCTGGTCATTTATTTACAATATCAAACAATCATCTTCTCTTAAACCACACATGAGCGCATCTGTTATCAAAGGTCAACGTGACGTCACAGGCGTGCGAGTGAGGAAGGTGGGGAGGAGGGAGCTCGCGGCAGCAGGTGAGAGCGCATCAGAGATACGCAGAGCTGAGGAAGTAGCGGAGTAGTGAGGAGCAGAGCCATGGGAAAGCTTCAGGAATTTGATATTACTTTTACCAACAACAAGGTGGTTTACGGTCCGGGGGAGTCTATAAGCGGGACGGTGAAGATACGAACCACCGAGTCGCTGCATTTCAAAGGTAAGCTGTCCGTCAGCGAAACCCAGAAGACGGAGAGGAGCGTTTCTTCCTCCCAGCGTGCCTCTCCCAGTCAGGCTCAGTGAGGCGCGCATGTAGGCTTGGTGTACATAAACTTTTCCTCGGTGATGGTGGACGTGGGGGAGAGCAGAGCACCGCGCAGCTGTGGCTTTTCTTTTTCGTCTGTTCAAGGCACCACACTGTGCGGTCGCGTCGGACATGTATTGGGGATTTTGTGCCGCTGTTCTGGGAGTGGACCGAGCGTTTCCCACACGACACCAGCAGCCACCGCCGCTGTTGTTGTCTGTGCCAGCTCAGCTGTTTGGTACTCTTATCAGGCCGTTTAAAGCACACATCCTGCTTGTTGCAACATGTTGCTTCCTTGTATTGTTTTGTTTTTGAAGAACCCTCGAATTTGACAGAAATATCCCCAGAAATAGGCAAAACATCAGGTGTTAGTCATCTGGGAGCATTTTCATTATACAAGCGTCAAATAGAAACGATTTGGAAATGTTTGTTAATTTATACAAACTTGAAGAAACTGTTAATAATGGGAATAAAGTGGGCTAAGTGGGAAGCAGCTCCTGGAAAGACACAAAGAATCCATTGTGTGTAAGGAGATCCTCGAGGGTAATCTTCCCAGATAAGGAAGGGCAGTCATCATCTTGACTGAAAGCTCTTCTTACAGTGGGTGTCCCTGCACAGTGGTATGTTAATTGACAGGGACAGTAATTAAAGGTGAGACTCTGGGAATATGTCCCCTTGCGTCTTGTATTTTACAAAGTTTAAATAGCCTGCAGTGCAGTTTATCCACTGATCTACACTGGTTTGATGTGCGGAGCCTCGCGTGTCTGCAGGCTAGAACTCGGAAAGTCACACCAAAACAAGGAGGGAGGGCAAATAGCACTACAGGCCGAACATTTGAATTGCAAATAGCAAAAATTCATAAGTTTATCCATCGCCATGATCAGTATAATCTCGATTATTCATTAATTCCACAAACATAATGCAGCTGCTTAACCTAAATATTATTCAAATTAATCTTAAAAGATGGGGAGAGATGGAGGAAGTGAGGAACCTGTGGTTTTCTGGCAGGGAGTTGAGCCTTGGTGAGGTGGCCTTTTTTTTAATTTTTTTTTTTATTTTTTTAAATTTTGACTGGAAAGTCTGTCTAGCAAGGGTAACCTGATCTCCCCTCACCATGGGACGCCTTTAGGTGCAAAGAGTGCATCGGACCTGGTTTCCTTTGCACAGCATCCACGAGGACAGCACAGGAAAGACAAAAATGCATCGGGTATGAGATCCTAGACAAATCCAGTGAAATTGAAATGAAATTGAAATCAATTTAAATTCTTGTAAAGTTATTTGGCCACATTTCCTGCATGTTGTGCACCTTCTTCTTCTTCTTCTTTTGGCTGCTCCACCTGCCTCCATCTCACCCTACTCCTTGCATCCTCTGTCACACTATCCTTCTGCATGTCTTCCTTCACTACATCCCTGCATCTTCTCTGTGGTCTTTTCCTTTTCTTCCTGCCTGGCAGCTCTATATTCATCATCCTTTGTTGATGAATATTACTCCTCCCCACATGTCTACGCTATCCCAGCCTTACCTCTGCTCAGCCTGAGCAGTCGCTCTGATGTAGTCATTTCTAATCCTTTCCCTTCTGCTCACTCCCAGTGAAAATCTTAGCATCTTCAACTGCCACCTCCAGGTCAGCCTCCTGTCTTTCTGTTCATTCCACAGTCACCCCTTACACCTGACATAGTGAGATTAATTTGCCATAATGCACAGAATGACCTCAAGCAGATGGGTTTGCAGCAGAGGTCAAAAGCTCCCGTTGAGCTTTGTTACACTGTAAGGTGTAACAGCGGCAGCTCGTCTCTATCTGACACCGGCTGTCGTTCCCCAAATTAAACCCTGCTCTGCTGTCCTTGAAGCATGCAGACAGTAGGAGAGTTTCTCCGAGGCAAGCTAAAAACGCTCAATAAGAGTCCTCGGTGCTAAGAAGAGCATGCAGACAGGTGTTTGATGTGGTGGTCTGTCAATCTGGTTTCATCTCCCTGTAGTTTTCTTAGCAAAGTGCGAGACCACAGTGTGCTTTCAGTTATCTGCACTCAGAAAAACGCATTTACTTTTTCCAACATCTTCATTTTCATTTTTTTCACTGCAAATTAAAAAAATGTGTACGGTCTGCTGTGACTGTTTATATCTGTTTGTAGCATGGGATGTTTCAGGAGCTTTTTTTTTTAATCTTACTTAAGCCCCTTAAACTGGCTCCTCCACTGATCTCTTAGCAAAAGTGCTCCAGCTGAGAAGACTCTCTTCTCCATCTTGGGCTTTCAGCGAGCACTGCTAATGTACTGTAAATGCTGAGTCTGCATTATGTGTCCAGTGACATCATGCCCTCTCGATAGAGCCTGCTGATCATTGCATCAGTCAGATGACTTGAATTAAGCCGAAGTGTGTGTTTTGTTTGGGGGTGACAATTTCCTGTTTTGAGTATCGTTCCCGAGGAGAGAATAGAACTGAGCCATTTGGCTTCATTACTGTAAATCTTGTGTCGTCTGGTCGCTCAGATTCTGTTCTCTGTCTAATCCATTATCTGCACTTATCTGATTAAGGATGTCTGATGTGGATGATAGTTTCCCCCATTTCCACATGCGTTACATGTAATTGCAGTAATGGTGCAGATTAAGATTGGGTTTACTCCTGGGACCTTTTCTTCTGACAGTTTCACCCAAATAAAAATATACACAAGGATCCAAACAAGAAAACAACAAACCTTTTTTACTTGAAAAGTTTTTATCCTCATTGCTAAACTAAGCAAGTGAGTCAAATATTTGGTCTCTGTTGTTTGTGTACTAATGCGGCAGTTGAAAACACTATGATATTGCTTCTCTTCAGTCATCTGTTGATTTTCTCTTCACTTCAGTGCTCATGACCACTGCTGTTTCCTGCCTCAAACATCAACAACGCCCATTCAAGGAAGAATCCTTCCTGAGAAATTTTGCTCTAGAAAAACAGCAGGCTTGTTTGTCAGAGCTGGATTGTGTGACCTGTATTTATGCTGTGTGCATTATATCAATAAAGTTTTGATTTTATGTTTTCTGGGCCAATACACTGCTCATACTATCCATTACATACACCCAGTAGATGCTGGCACTGTATGACCCTTGTGAGCCATTTGTAAGACTTAAATTGAAATTGCACTGTGAATCTGGTGTGTACTGTTACCGAGCAGTGATGTGAAATAACACTGAGGGGTTATAATAGACAAATACAAGCTTTCTAGAGTGCTGGATATTGCTGAGGCCAAATTCTTAGCCTCACTCAATTATTGATGATAGAAACACTGTCTGATGGTTTCCATTGATTAGGATGCTCAGGTAGACAGTTGTAATAGCAGAATCATGACTCTCATGACTTAACACTCCTGCCCAGTTGAAACCTACCTATTGCATTTGAAAGGGTATGAAGCTACCACATGAATGTATTTGAGTTTTGCAGATAAAGGAAATATGAGATAGAATTTGTCATACTGATTGTTATTTAACTAAAATTTAGCTTTGATCATTTTTTAGTTGTTAATGATTTATTTGAAAACGGTGGGGTCTAATGCATTAAGGAACACGATGGCATCACAACCAAAATTATTGCGACTGTGCGCAGTGAACTTGAGGTGTCATCGTGGTTATTTTGAAAACAGGGACCCGGTTTGTGACTACTCACAGTCAGCTGCCATCTTCAAAATGACTTTGCTGCTTTAAGACAGCATTAAAACTGAGTCAGTGGGACGTCAGAGTCCATCTAGAACCTCAAAGATTTGAAACAGAAATTGAGCAGCCTTGGTTCATACAGGGATATGACCAAAGTTCAGCCAGGTGGCAGCCAGAGGAGTTGAGTCCCCTATTGCTACATTGAATGAGACTACATTTTCTTGCAGACCTTCATCAATCTGCCCGAGTGTGACTGCAGTTAGTTTGAGTCAGACCGCGCTTGTTTTGAGGCTCCCATCTCAGAAGTTGAGGGTGTTTAATGCTCAAACCTTGGGTGACCATCTCCAGCTGCTGAAGTGGAACATGCTAGAGAAAGTTAAAAAACCATCGACCTACATCCCCAATAATCATGTTATGATGATGATTGCAGACTTTTAAGTGTAATTTAAATGTCACAGTGATCACGCAGGGCATAGATTCTCTCTTTGTGTATTAGCCAATGGAGATTGACAGACCACGTGACTTTCGCGCATTGCATGCCGGATACTGGTGGCAAAACAATCAAAGCAATGCATCAAACGCAAGCATTTGCAGCACCACAAAACGTTCATTCTCCGGTTCCAATACTTTCTTGCTTTTTCTTTGTCCCCCAAAAAACGTTATGTACAAAACGAAGGAGAACAATGCCGGTCCGTACAAAGACAGACTTGATGAAAAGTCAAAGAAAAGATGCGAGGTGAAATCAAAGGAATGGGTTAGACCCTTACGAGCACACAGAGTGGACAAAATACGTTAGCGTGCTGCCCAACTTTCACCACGCTCATATTTATAATTATACGGTTCTTGGAGTGAGTGCATACACTCGTGAAGTTTTTAGTAACTTAAGGTCAGAAGAGTGATGGCAGCTCAAAGCCAGCAACCCACCACTACCTTTGTCATGTACTTCTGAAAGGAGACTGGAAAAGAGGCCTTTATCTTTAGACCATCATGTCACGTTGGCTCAAGCTTGTTTGGGCTTTTAGGATTGGTTGAAAGCCCAGTGCTGCTTTTCATTATCTCCCCATTACTGGAAGACCTGGGAACAGGGTGGTGTTAGTCCATATTGTTCTGATGGGAAAATACCTACAGCTGTCAGGTCTCATTTCCTTCCCAGGCTAATTCCAAGGTCACTGTTTTTTTGGACAGGATTGACCTTGGCTTCTGTAAAGCAGGGCCTGGGATATTAAAGGAAAGGGACAGTCTTTGTGGTTGGAAGTAAAGCCTGGTTTCTCAATGACCGGATCTCA